AAGACCGATGAATTTGACGAAGAGTTCTACAAACAGACTCAAGAGGAATACAAAAGAATATGTGAACTGGAGAAAAGATTGACAAAAAGAGAACATAAACTGGACTATGAGGTTACGACGGACGAAGTTGAAGCAGCAATATACCTACTAGAAATAGGTAAATCACCTGGAGCTGACAGCCACTTCCCAGAACTATTTAAGTTTGCAGGAGAAAACCTCATAGAAGCAATACGAACTATGGTGAACCTCACACTAAAACATGGCCGGTTACCACAGGAATGGAAGACAGCAAACATCAAATTCCTGAGGAAACAAGGGAAAACCAACTACTACTCACCATCATCATACCGCCCTATAAGTCTAACCAGTGTCATGTGCAAAATTACCGAAAAAATTGTTCTTAACAGGCTGGCAGCGTTCATAGAAGGAATGAAGCTTATAGAAGAAAAACAAGAAGGATTCAGGAAAAAACACTCAACATCAAACTGCCTTATCAGATTTATCCAAAACACGATAGAAAAATTCAATAAAGGAGAAATCACCCTTGCATGTCTTATTGACCTAGAAAAGGCATATGATTCAATCTGGCGAGAGGGACTATTAGTGAAATTACACCATCTGGGTATTAGAGGAAAAACATGGGCCTGGATTAAAGACTTCCTAAATAACAGAATGGCAAGATGCACCTTTGAAAACTATGTAGGCGAAGAATTTGAAACAAAGATAGGGCTGCCACAAGGATCAGTTCTTGCTCCCACATTATTCAACATCTTTATCAACGACCTACTGGGAGATATTCTAGGAGACTACACAAAATTTGCTGATGATGGAACACCCTGGCAAACAGCTAAACCAGACCAGATAATAGAACTAAAGGATAGAATGAAGGATGACATCACAAAAGCAGTGAAATGGACTCAGAAATGGAGAGTAAACATCAACCTGGACAAAACTGAAATATGCATCTTCTCAAAAAAGACAATCGATGAAGAGGACAAACGTATTCTGATTCAAGGTAAAGAACTCAAATACAGCTCGACACCAAAGCTCCTTGGAATCATTATGGACGAGAAAATGACCTTTAGCAAACACATAGATGCCATTGAAAAAAGAGCAAACAGGAATTTAACTATTCTGAGAGAAGTGAGACAGATTAGCAAAGTAAAGACAGAAAAGCTATTACAATTATATTACAGTCTAGTTAGATCAGTCATGGAATACTGTAGCCCAGCATGGCAAATAGCAGATCCAAAAGACCTGCAAAAACTTGACAGAGTACAGAGAAAAGCACTAATCCTATGCATGGATATGCCTACAACATCTGGCAGAGAAGCACTAGAAGTCGAAACAGGAGTTATGCCAATAGACCTTAGGCTAGAACAAATAGCCATAAAAGAGATAGCAAAGATTAAATCCAAATCTGCACAGGAACCCATCAAACAGCAACTTGTGAGGTATGAAGATCAGGACACCTATGACAAGTACCCAACACCGATGGGCAAAGCACTAAGCCAAGCAGCAGAAATGGACAAACAGACGAAGATTAACATCAATCTCATAGAACCTGAGTTTACCTACAGACTGGGAGAAACTCAAATGACCCAATCAAAACCTTCATATTGGAGTCGACTAGGCAACTCAAAATCAAGGACAAGTGAGCAACAAGAACTTTGCCAGGAAACCATTAACCAACTCATGGGAGATTGCGCACAAGAACAAGCAATATCGTTCACAGATGGATCATGCTTAGGGAACCCAGGACCCTGTGGAGCAGGAGCAATTATTTATGCTGAACACATTAAACCTGCTGCAAGACTACACAGACCTGTGGCACAAAGAGGATCCATCCTCCTGGCGGAACTCATAGCGATTCTCATGGTCCTTGAATACTGCATTACAGAAAATATGTACAACACAATACAAAAAATCAAAATTTTCTCTGACAGTCAAAGCGCCGTGGGATTACTAACACTGAACTGGGCCCCAAATAGCTACATCTCCGTAATAAGAGAAATAAAAGAAAACATTGAGCATCTTAGGCAAAAAGCACTAAATGTAATCATATCATGGACACCAGGACATGCCAATATAGCTGGCAATGACGAGGCTGACATCCTTGCAAAAACAGCAGCACAGGACGCAAAAGAACTACCACCGGAAAATAACGTCATAACACTACAGGACGTCAAACAGGCAGCCTATAAAAGTACAGGAGAAAAATGGCAGAGAAGATGGGAAATATCTGAGAGAGGCAGGGACCTTTACGAAAAAATACCAACTACGAAACACTCAATTATGCATGATTTTCCCACTAAAAGACATTTCAGTATATTCGCCCAACTAAGAACTGGCTATACAGAACTCAACTACTACAAGAACCGAGTAGGCCAAACCAACGGCATAGAATCATGCAACTGTGGAGCACCTGAAACACCTCACCATTTCCTTCTGGAGTGTCCCTGCTATGAGAACGAACGAGCAGATATGTTACAACAAATATCCAAAGAGGTCGGGATCAGAAACCTGAATTTAGCTACTATGCTAACGAGACTAGACGGCGAGAACACCGAAGAGACAAAAGCCAAACTACAAACAGTGGCACATTACATTGACAGAACAGGCAGATTTGATACTGCTGTTCCTCAATCCCAATCTTAACCAGCGCATACTAAATTAAAGCACAGAGAAGAAAATACGCCGAGAAAAACGCACCAAAGAGAAAACCTGCACATTGGGAAAATTCGTGCCAACAGGCCTTAAGATTGAGGATTGAGGATAAGAGCTTATTTTGTCACATATCTTTATGAGGGTCTGTATGGGTTTTATAGAATAGAAAATAATGGACCAATACTACAAAATTGAACATTTAAAAAAAAAATCCAAAACAAATATCTGTATCATATACCCAAGCGCCTGTGGACTTACAACCAAAATTATTATCAGATTTCTAACAGTATTAAGTGACAAACCACATAACGTCAAAATGCTTTACTAAAAATTCGTATCTTAAAGACAAGGCAAACCCTATATTTTGAAACTATTTCTAAAATAAAAGAATTTAAAAATAGTTCTTCATATCAATTAAAAAAAATTAAAGGTATCGTTATTATATACAACAAGTACAACGTATACTTCTGACAAGGCTAACGAACTTTCGACAACCGTAGTATTGACAATGAACGTATAATTACGCGTTATGTAGTGCAATTCAAAATAACAACGTGTCAACTTTGTGATTTTTCTAAGACCCCGAGATTCGTTCCTTTGACGACAGCAGTTATCTGTACATCACTTGTGAAGTAATACATCGTCTTGTTAAATCGATAGTTTTCTATGGGGAAGACAGTTAAATTGTATCTTGCAACAAATTCGAAATCAAATGTTTGGGTTTTTTTTACTTTTTTTTTTAACAAATAAAAGAGACATTTCTTTTAAAAGATTAATGGCTGCTTAATGTCAACGGCAGCAAGTATAAATTTTAAGAATGCAATTGAAATAAAATAAATGTTAACTACTATAATTATATATGATGACAAGTTATGTCAACCAAGCAGTACATTATTACCATTAACACACCGGATTTCCCAGCGAAAAAGGATCACAATAAAGTTTCAATAGTTTTTCCTGCGAAAAGCACCAAAAAAACCCAATCCAGATTGAAAGGGTCATAATAAAGGCTTTACGGTCATTTGTTACAATGTATGATGATGTGTATTGAAAAGCATGAAGGATTATAGAAAACACTTGTGAGACGACATTAGCTAAATGTCAAACTATTGATCCATAATCTTTCTGCATGTATATGTATATTTAAGATATTGTAACAAAATTATAGAGTTCTTGTTGTATCATTCACCTGCAAGAGAAGTACCTGGCGTATGCACTTTAACGATTGTAGACCATTTTATAATGGATCCATTATTTAATTTAGTTGTTTTGTGAATGGCGTTCTAAGTTGTATGTGTCATCCATACTTACGCCAGAAATTATAGGTCTGTTTCCTGCCTTCCTACCAACCGTTCATGCTCCTGCCAACCCTAACATATTTTAAACTCCATAAAAATCAAATCATTTTTGGTTCAGCATCGCTGAATTTTAAAACGTTTCCCTAAATAGCTTACGTAAAATCTTTTAAAAAAAGAAATAATTTTACCTACTTACCTACATTATTTTTCGTTCGGCCAGGAAACAGGAAACTAGTATATATAAAGTTTTTATGCCTTCGAAAACAAACATTGGGAGCAAAACAAATCTAACCAGAACATAGGTAAAAAAAAAAGATAACTCGATGCCTGGATTAATCTGCTGTAGATATGATATACATGTACCATGCACAGACTATGTTCACTTAAACTTTACTATCGCTATTCTGGGCTGGTATTCTGACATAAATGCCAATTTCATTAAAATCATCTAAAGAATATATATATATTTATGTTACCGCAATTCGACTGAAGGATATAATTGAAGAAAAATTCAATGGGGGGTATATCAACTGTGATCACTAGCCTGTAAAATATAAGGTTGATAGTGTGAACTCAGTTTGTGGCGAGTCGTATTCAACTCCGATCTGAATTGACATGGATTTCAGTCTTTCTGCCGAAGGTCGATGGTTTACTCTTGATATTCCGACTTCCTCCACCCATAAAGACCTAGTTCGCTTAAAGTGGCGTTAAATGCCAACAAAGAAATCGTGCTGTAAATGAAATACTGTAGATGGACAAATAGGACATATAATTATGTACATTTGAATATGAAAACTTAGAGTTGCAATGTTAAAATTGCTAAATAGCTTATGGTACAATGTTGTTGTTGGAGCCAAATTTCAAGTCAAATGTCCTAAAAATGGAGTTAATTATTTTTTTAACTGGAACTGTTGCTGGATAAGTAGCTTTGTAATATGCAAAAGAGGGTGGTGTTGTACTAGATTTTCGTACAATTTTAAGAGCCAAGTCCTACAAAAATATAAAGACATAAATGTAAAAAAATATCCGTCTTACCTTTTGGATCAAAATGGCCTTTGTCCCGCCCATTATACCCTTTTTCATACTATGTGAATCATCGGGAACGTGCACTTTTAACAATCCATTTGGTTTCAAATTTTTAATTTCATGTTTCTCATCGTTTTTAATTTCATGTTTTTCATCCTTTGAAGATGCAGATGAATCTGTTGATTTTTTCGGTGAAAATTTGCCACTATTTCCGAATCGTTCACCACCTTTTCCACCACACCTCGAAATCAAATGTAAATCCCTGTGGCTTAAATCAGGTTCACTTCGGAGCAATTGTGCTCTACGTTCATTAGCCGTATTATCTTTACTTTCGGTTGACAGCTTGTAATCACTTACGGTTTTTTCGTCAAATCCTACGATCTGGTCACCAAGTGAATATGACGAGCCTTCCGTAGCAGTCAAATACACATCAAACGCACTACATGACGTCATAGGTGTATTGTATAACGTCGAATCGAGTGTTGTAGCAAGAGACAGGGTCTCTGTATGGGACCGTATTAAATCTTGCTGAGAAGCTACTTCGCTGTTTTTTTCGGTACCAGTAAATTCCTCACTCATGTTACTTATTCCTTCTTCTGCCATGTCGTAAGCAATCTGGATATTTATTTCATTTTGTTGTTGTTCCGTTCCATCTGAATGATTATCTAACACCGTTCCATCTGAATGATTCTCTAAAACATTTCCACATGCATGTTTTAGTAAATTTTCTTCCTTTTTACTCCGAATCATTTTGAATCAATTATGTCTTATTTGGAACCAATCAAGCGGACCGAAAAACCATAGTTCATACTGCGATGACGTTACATCATTTTACGCAAGTATTCTGCTCACCATTATGTTTGAAACGTTTATTCTGATTTAATCTATCTATTGAATTCCAATATTATTTGAAAACAATGACGAAAATGAACCTCGTTATGTTGGTATCTTTAATTGTATGAAATGATTATGACTTAGGTTTTTTGAAATAATGCTTTAATTTATTTCTTTTCAAACAGATCAGAATGTCCTCATAAAATCGTTTTATTCGATTTTTAAATAACAAAAATACTTTCAATATCCGTTTGTGGAGCTACAGAAGCTTAAAATATTAATAACCTACTAGAAAATCGGTGCACAATATCCGACGATTTTAATCTGTTATAGATTTGAAACTTTTATTATCTAAACGCATTCATTGATTCAGCTAAATTAGAGAAACAATATTTCAATTGTCAGTAAATGCAAATATCCGCTAGTAGTATATGTATGAAAGTGCTGAAAATGACGTCATTTAAAAAGCTTGACGGGTATGATAGTTAATCCAGTCTTTAAACCACACCAAACCACTGATTGTTTAGTATTGGTATTTAATTGAATTACTCGTTGTGGATATTCCAACACGTCAGTTGTTTTTATTTGTACACATTAGTATTGATTGTTCCTGAAATGAAACAGAATTACATTATTAAATAAAAACATTAGATAATAAAAGATATATTGCGATAAGCGATATCAGGAGCACTGAAGCAGCATTTAAGCTGGTACCATGGTTTAATCCAATTATTTATTAATGTCTTGATGAACCTGGAAGTATCCAAACGTTAAAAATTCAGCAAGTCATGTGTGATCTTGGCAAGGTTTCTCAATTTGTTAAAAAAATATTGTATACAGATTAATTCCTTATTGTGATGGCTTTGAAAATATTTGTTATGACGTGCAAGAAGGTCCGGACGTCGCACATATGCTTATATATATATATATATATATTTCTAATCTATGATTTGATTTTGAACTGAATATCGCGTTAGAAGTTTTTTGAATAGCAAATATAAAATATTGTGATAGTTACGAAGAGATGGTATAATCAACCATAAAGGTATCCAGAATTTTTTTTAAATGGAAGTCAAATGTTTATTATATTTAAAAAAACAATTAGATCAGACCAAACGTTTATTTCAGACAAATCACGGTACAAAAGGGGAAAGACAGCAATTAACAACCGGAAATTCAATAAAAACGACACACAATCGCAAAAATAAAAACCAAACCCAAACAACATAAGGACAAACAGCAATTCACTAGTCACTACAAAGAAAATAAAAGATTGAGCAAAACAAACCCTACCAAAAAATGAGACTTAACTCATGTGCTCCGGAAGGTTAAGTAGTTCCTGCTCCACTGGTTTCGTCTGTTGTATTAAGTATTGCAAGTACAATTGAATATTTATCGCATTCGGAGCAAAACAAAATTATTCAAATAGATCCTTGCTTAGAAAATTCGAATTGTTTTAGATAATTACGTGATAAAAAAATGCCAGCATACTTTTATTGCCAAATCGGTTAACCCCACAACAATGTCATATATGACAATATATAATTATAAGCATCAAAGAAACAATTTTGTCATAATGTTGCTCGAGATTATGACATTGTCATTTCATGTAGCAGTGTGAAATGACACCACAAAAGAATTAAATATAATTATGTAAAAATAAGGAGATGTGGTATGATTACCAATGAGACAACTATCCACCAAAGTTCAAATGAACTTGATGTAAGTAATTATAGGCAACTGTACGGCCTTCAACAATGAGAAAAAAAAACCATACCGTATGGTCGGCTATAAAAGGCCCCGACATGAAACATATGAAACAATTATATTTATTTGAGAACGATAGAAATGGACGTTATTAACGCAAGTGTTAATACCAAATGATGAAGTCTAAAACGTCTTATCCAATCTTGAAAACTTGTGAAAAGATAAATTGAGTCACCCAAAGATCTGCATTAAAAACAAGATTTGTCCGAAGACAACCCCTAGCAAGGTTGTGACTTTGGACAAGTAAATTTAGATGCGGCGTGATTGAATTAGTTAACACTGCAACCTTTTTTAAAATTTGATCAGTGGGATACTATGGATGATACATACAATTACAGAGGTTAAAGAAACAATATCATTACCTTGTCAATTAATGCAAAGTTTTCACTAAGCCTTTTTACTGCAATCAGGTACAATATTGTCAAATGCTTTGATGCAGTTACTCACAGGGGCGTATCAAGGGTTCTGGGGGAAAGTGTGATTCTAATTGTCCATAACGTGTATATTTCTGCCAGCGTGGAGAGTTGAACATTTATTTTGATGATTTTATGGAAAAACTTATATTATCCAATCCAAGTTGAGACGTACGCCCTCTACGCATCTTCTTTTAATCCCCTAATGCTTACTATATAATTTTAAGGGATTCCCTGTTTATTAATCTGGACACCAGTATAACAAATTCTCATTTATTCGTTATAATTGACAATCCGACTTCAAACGAGAGAAATAAATTAAAAACTCCAATGGAATTGATGTATCAAATTAATTGTCCTTTGACCTCCTATATTTTTCAAATGTATTGATCATTTGCTATTAAGATATCCCAAAGGAATTTCAAGCAAAATCTGATTGAAAATAAACATGCCATTTTGAATAAACTTTATAGTTATAATGTGAACAAGAGGGAGTTGTTGAGCACTCACAAACATCGTTTAACGTCGTATTCTACATATGTGCATGTCCTAAGTCAGAAGCCTGTAATTCGGTAGTTGTCGTTGGTCGTTTTCCGTCATATTTGCTCTTCGTTAATTGTTTTTGTAATAAATTAGGCCTTTAGTTTTCTCGTTTAATTGTTTAACATTTTGTCATGACGGGGCCATTTATAAATGACAATACGGTGTGGGTTTTGTTCATAGTTGAAGGCAATACGGTTATCTATAGTTGCTTACATCTACATCATATGAACTCTGGTGGATAGTTGTCTCATTGACAATTATACCAGATTTCCTTATTTGTTTAAAGTGGTAAATTTCGTTCATTACCTTAAACATTACATTATTTGGTATTTCTTTCCTTTACATCGATCACGCAGCAGGATGAACAGATGAACATAATATTTTGCTGTGGACTAACTAATACCTACTCTTTTCTTATGATGGACGAAAAGCGATGCAGTTTTCTTGCGAGTTTACTAAAACTCAATGTAACTTAGTGTCTCAACTTGAAATATTAAATACGTTTATCAAATACACAAACACCCTCCATTAGGTCCTAGTTCATTCAGGCGAACCTATTTATCAGACCTGTCCTTATATTATCTTAAACTATGAAATGCATTACTTATCCACTACATAATCTAATTATCAAATTTCTCATCACAAATTTCTACTACTGTCATGTGGGAATATAACCACTAATTCATAGCTCCATTGCCTGCCTTCTATGTAAAATTCTGCCTTTCGTTTTAACTTTATAAAAGAAGTGACATTCGTTCCATGTCAAAACAATACCTTAACCTGGCTTTTGCTGAAAGGTTCAATAAACACGTACCTTTAATTGCTTATACGAGCATACTGGTTCTAACAAGTTAGAAAGTGCAAAAACAGGTACTTCTAATGTGTGAAAAAGGGAACATATGGCCTTTTACTTCAATTTCATCCCCAATTATTTGATCAGTGAAATTAAATCATTCAGCAAAAGTTTCCACAGTGATTCAATATCTTGTTTTCATTTCATACCAAAATTACCAACAGTTTAAATATTTTTAACGTTAAAACTACAGGCATGCGTATAATCTATTTTGTTTGAAATATGTACTACTTTCATATGTGTTCTCTCTGACCGAGTCTCAATTAGTGGTTCTATACCTGTTACTTTTCAGACACGTCAGTATGAATGTTTATCATATGTTTTAAAAAATTATTTATGTATACAGACTTTGAAAATAATCAAATTTTAATAGACCCCAACTTGTGTGTCTGCATAATACTAAGTTTGCAGAAGAAATATCTGTAAATTGGAATATTAAAAATAAAAACATGAACACCTAGTCTAGTTCTTATTCGGTCTTTTTAGATTGTCATTTCCGTTTATCTACTTAGGACAGAAAAAGTGTAAGCCTTTTTTGACTTCGTCATATTATCCGCGCATTAATGTGTGAATAGAATAGAAAAACTGTAAATTGAATACGAAACTAAGCATGATTGATAAGTTCTTGTTAAGTTTATTAAGCTGGTCGTCTCAGTTTAATATAGAAGGATATAATAAAAAGTAAGCTTATTTCAATTTTATCCTATTATCTGAGCACTGATGTGTGTGAATAATGAAAAAAAAACTGCAATTTGAACTAAGGCTAATTAATAAATGATTGCTTAATGTCTCAATTTAATTTAAAAAGACATAATTAAAAGTAAGCTCTTTTCAATTTTGTCATATTTATCTGCCCATTAATTTACACGTTTAAGTAATTGACTTGTTTACGTTGTCGTCGATTTACCAACTTTTACATCGTTAGAATCTCAAATGATGCGATAACTTAATTAATAAACTAATCATGGTTAAATTTACTGAGATGGATCATAAACTAAGCAAAACTAATTACAGACATGTTTTATCAACAGAGTAGATCAATCAATTAATAGTTATTTGAACCTTTTAAAGCCTGAAGCTGTGTGTTTATTTATTCATTTCGTCTTTCAGTGACTAGTGCTAATTAAGCTTCGTAAACCTATTAAGGTAACCTTGACCTAAGCAATAAAGTGTCAATGCTTTTTAATTTGTAATTGAATGTTGATGTAATATTTATGCTGCTTTGGTCAGACTGATAATTAGTTATAACAGAACATGTATTCCCACGAGAAAAATTCAAATTGAAAGATAGATTTTCAAACATAAGAGTTTGTGAATACCTCATGCACATTTTAGAGATATTTTTTATTATAACTCCAGGAGTCATGAAGTCGAATCAAGATGAAATATGTCATGTAATATAATTTTGTGTATATGCAAATTTAATTTCTTGGGTGTGCTCAACTGGGTTTTATGTGCTAGCCAGAGGAAATTTAACACAAAAATGAATTCGTTTACAGTATGTTCTATATATACCTTTTAAAGCACGACGTGCAATTTATTTTTCATAGTTGTTTTGGGACAGTGTTATGAAACTG